TACGATCTATGTTTTCGTTACACCCTGAATAAGAATATGTGTTATATTGTCTTGCTTCTCTGCAGAATATTGTTCTGAAGCTGTTTGTATTTTGAGAACGATTTCCGAAGTGGAAATTGAAACGTCAATAAACGTATTTTTATTTTTAATTGTGGCTTATTCCCAATTAAATAGTAATTAGTTCTCTGCAGAATGTTTTATTTTCGTTATGTCTGTTCTTTTGCCTTTTCAATTTGATGTTGTAAATACTGTACGTTAAGTTTTAAATTAGATATACACACTATAAATAACAATACTGCGCGCCGTCGACTTTGATCGAATCTCCGCTTCCTATCGCCAATATAATTTGTCATTATCCAGTGGTTGTCTGTTTATACGCCCTCAGAAAAGGTTCAAATAATAAAATGGTTTTATGGTGGTAATTCCGGACAACAGTGTATATACCATTTTTCAAGTGGTGCAAGTAAAACACTTGCCTGTTACGATTTATACAAAGTGACGTCATTTGTATTTAAATTTCGAGAACATCAACCTTAGAGTTCAAATTTTCCTAACGCAGCTAATAATAAAAATAATATATATTAATAAATTGTATTTATAAATACATACTATTTATAAATTATTATTGTATTTATAAATATCAATCACATATAAACTCTGGTAGCTAGCTGGTAGTTACCAGCTAAAGTCCGTTTGAAGAGCTTTACTCTCCGGACGCTGGAACTCACTTAAGGCATGGGTGTATGTTACCTAAAGTAAAATTTAATTAAATATTTAACATTAAATATTAATAACAACATTATGTACAATCTTTGTTAACCTTATGTATTTTAAAGGGTTTTTACCCTAATATTTTGGTGGCTCAGACATGTTAACCTGCATTTTTAACCTGATGATGGAATTATTATTCCGAAAACGTTCGTGTTATTTGATGTAGCCCTTTTACGGGTTCTTTAAATATACCCATTTACAAAGATTTAACCTCTTTTTTTATAAAACAACATTTTTTTACATTTAAGGGGAGTTTGTTCTGATGCACCAATTTTGTAGTCTGTCTAAGTCATCTTGTAGCAAGGCTTGATCTTTTAAACTGCCTATAACTTTCCAAAATTTTAAGTCATCTGCCAACATTAGACATTTCTTCTTCTTCACGTGCCATCTTCGCGACGGAGGTTGGCAATCATCATGGCTATCATCATGGCATTAGGCATTGCTATTTAGGAAACAGGAAGTGATATCGTTAACGAAGATATTAAAAAGAAAAGGAGAAGTGTGGCCTCCTTGAGAAACTCCAGATGTTACTGTGATACTGTCAGATAGATGACAACCTATGTTGACTCTTTGACTTCTCCCAGATGTAGAATTTTTAATCCATTCAAAAAACCTGCCATGAAAGCCTACATTAATTAATTTGCCCAAAAGTATTTGGTGATCTACACGATCAAATGCTTTGGAAAAATCTGTATTTATTACATCTACGTGTTTACGGCCGTTCATATAAGATAATATATCACATTGATAGCAAACCAAATTTGTTGCAATTGATTTTTTGCTATAAAAACCATGTTGTGATTTAGATATTAAGCGTTTATAAAACCAAGAAAGTTGCTTTGCTATAAGACTGTCGAAAAGCTTAGGGATTGCAGATTGTATACAAATGCTAAGATAATTTTCAGTATTGTTTTTCTTCTTCTTCTTCACGTGCCATCTCCGCTACGAAGGTTGGCTATCATCATGGCAATTTTGACCCTGGAGGCTGCCGCTCGGAACAATTGTATGGAAGTGCAAGCAAACCACTCCCTGAGGTTTCTCAACCATGACATTCTTCTCCTACCTATGCTGCGCCTACCTTCAATCTTTCCTTGCATAATTAGTTATAACAGTTGATATTTATTCCCACGTGTAATATGTCCCAGGTATTGTAGTTTCCTCATTTTAACACTCAATACGACCTCCTTTTGTTTGTTCATCCTGTCTAATACAACTTGGTTAGTTATCTTATCCTTCCAGGAGATTTTTAACATTCTTCGGTACGCCCACATCTCAAATGCCTCCAGCTTACCCATACATTGCTTATTTAGTGTCCATGCCTCCACCCCATACAATAGGACCGAGAAAACATAACATTTAAGCATTCGTATTTTCAGCTTTAGGCTTAGGTTACGGCTACACAACATTTGTTTCGTATTGTTAAAGGCACTGCGGGCTTTCTCTATTCTTATTCTTATTTCTCTGGTGTATTCGTTTGACTCGTTAATATTTGTTCCGAGGTAATTGTAATTTTCATTTTTGTTTTTCTGAAAAATTTTTAATACAGGAACAACATAACTTTCTTTCCATTAAGAAGGAAACACAGAGGTTTCCAGAGATCTATTAAAGAAAATAATAAATGGTATTACAAGGGTACAGACACTTTTTTAATAAAAAATTAGGCACATAATTGTTGCTTTTAGCGTTTAAAAATATAAATTTTATAATGTTTGTAAATCAAAATTATTATTTGGTTAGTCAGTGTAAGAAATTTTTTCTATAATCGCAGTTCAACCACAAAATTTGGGTTCCCAAAACAAATTTTTGATCGAACGGGTTATTTTTACCTTACCTATCAAACCACTATCTAATGTTTAATATCATTGTTTTTCAGATATTAACATATATAAACGATATCCGTTTCATAGTTCTTCAGTTCTTGAACTCAGTCTCCAGTTGAACATTTGACGCAACAAGTACAGGTAAATGTTTTCTTTTATACAATTGCCCAAATGAATATTTTTATGTACATGTTTTTTTATTTAAGCTACATAATATTGCATCTTTTTTTATTTAACTTATACATATTCAAAATTTCAATTAATCTAGTAACACAGTGGTACAAATCTCTCTGAATTACAAGAAAATATTTTTTATTACAGCTATATTGTTTTGAGAGCTTGTAGATCTACTTAAGAAATGTTTGTTTTATTAACCGTTAAATGTTTATTTATTTTTTCGTAAACTTTCTTTAATAATCCAAATCTTTTAATTTTATATTTTCTTACGTACATATCGTCTAAGGAAATAGGAACTTTTTCTACCTATATGTTCTTCTTCTAATTATTTTTGTCTAGACCTTACTCTGTCTATATTTTAATGTGCCTCCAGTAAGTTGTCGTTACATTGTTTTCGTGGGCTTCTCAATGATCATCTTTCTATTGGAGTACCGTTTCTCGCAGTCTTTGCTACTCTATTTGTTGCCATGCGGCTTATATTATCGTTCTATTCTACTCTTCTATTTCTGGTCCACTCCTTGATATTCTCCACCTTGCATATCCGTCGTACATCATCTGTACTTCTAGCTTTGCCATAGTTTCTAACCATCGCTATTTTAAGGGTTTTTATCTTTACTGTTTTGAGCATTATGTTTGCCTTTCTGTGTCAGGTCGTGTTTCTGCCACATATGTCATAACTGGTCTGATGACTGTTTTAAAACTTCTGCATTATTTCTGTGCTTATTTCTTAATTTTATTTTATTTGTGCCACCTGCGTCTCTGTTTGCTCTATTCACTTAATCTTCCACTTTTATTTCAAGCTTTCTTTAGCTAGATACTTTGACGACTATATATTAAAATTCCAACACTTGTTCTATTATAGAACTCTCTAGCTCTAATTTACATTTACAGTAAAATTTTCTGGTGGTTATAAAAAATAATTGGTGCATCATACGTTTTAAATTATCTTCACTATTGCCTCATCTGCAAATTATTTTAAGTTGTTTTTCTTACAGTTGTTATCCTTTTTAGTTCTTACTTTTTTTATTACTTCATTACTGATCAGTTTGAACACTAGAGGGCTTAGGAAATCCCCCTATCTTATCCCATCGCCAGCTTTAATTGGGTCAATTATTTCTTCTACTTAGTTATCTTCTTCTTTTTTTCCGCTTGATAAGCAATTTTGCTTGTTCATTGATAGATTATTACCTCTATGGAAGGTTGTCACTCCATCTTTTCCGCGGTCATCCGATACTTCTTCTGCCGATTGGTGACGTATCTTTTGCTATTTTGACGACACGGGTCTCTTTCATTCTGCTTTTGTGGTTATTTTCTTTTTTCTATTTTGTGTCCGTTCATTTATACACTGTACGTTACATTTTCTTCTAATGTATTCACTTCCTTTCGATATCTCAGCGTATTTCCTGTAATTCTTCTCAGTACCCTCATCGTTGCCGTTTTCAGTAGCCTTTTAATTGTGGCTGTGTCGGGTCTGTCTATATACAGGGTTGTACACCGAACAGATTTCACCCTGATACTTGACAATATTCATTGTATTTTGTAAAAATGCTAAAACAGGTCGATTTTTATTCTAAAAAAGTCATTTTTTAACGATAAATATGTCTGTCAAGTGTCAACCCCTTCCCTTCTAGCACAGCAACCCTTAAATTTTAATTAGGGAATACACCATGTGTGGCACATTGTTAGTCAGGTATTTTGCTCGAGAATTTAGACATCCAATTTTTTTTCGATATTAACTCTATTCTTGTGAAAAAATATCAGTCTGGTAAAAGTGGTACATCTTTTAAAAACTGAACGTAACGCCTTATGTTTTGCTAGTGTCAATTTCTGGTCATACCCACCAACGTCCATACAATTATAAAATCGCTGTTTGAAATTATTAAGAACATTTTGAAGTATTTTAGGGGTTATTAGACTACATTCATGTACTATTCATTTTCTTTCAATTGAGTTTTTTCAATGAAGCTGGAGTTGCTGGTATACATTTCGTTTTTATATTCCATATGAAGAAGTCTAGGAGAGTTAAATCTGTCGAACCACTGAAAGTTGGAAATTTTGGAGACATATGTTAGACTTTTGGGTTTTGAATCGAAGTCAGCTCGAACAGCTGATTCCGATTTAGACATAAAAATGTTGACTAATTTGTGCTTCAATGCCATAATATATTGATGGTTTTTATTTCATGAGAACAATATTAATAGTTTAACAATATTTTAGTCACTCTTGTTTAACATGTCTACTAGTGCTAAGAAAAATGTTGTCAAGCTCTTTGACAGGCCAAAAGAGTTGGTTATTATGCCAAAAGGAGATGACAAAACTGTATTCGACGTTCCTAGAGACTATATCGTAAGTATGTCTTAATTTACATTGCATTAAAACTGAATTTTGTCTGCTAATGTTTTTTATATTAATAATTATAGTTGATTTGATGAACATGTACACCATTTTCCTTAAACTTGTTTTACCAATTATTCTTTATTTCCTTATAACTTAAAAGTATTAGATGTTTCTAATTGAAGTGCTGCTTATCAAAGTTCTCTATTTGCTTTGTTAAATTTATTTGTTACAATATATTCTGATTTCCTTAATTACTATTATCTGTATATTATAATTTTTTCAGTGTAATTTAGTGTAATTCTTAGGTATTAGTACTATTTAAAGCATACTATCACATAGCTTTCTGTTTTGATTTGTTTTCATGTGCCTCATCGAGTAATTTTATGTTATAATCTTATCTCTAAGCCGTATATATATATATATATATATATATATATATATATATATATATATATATATATATATAGATGGTGGTATTCTTGACTGTTAATTTAAATATAAATTATGATTTTTGAGGATGCAGTCAGTTTATTTGGCCCACAAGACAAAGAAAACTCTTTGACTTACTGTCAAGCTTTCGAATTTTATTTAATTCTTTTTCAAGACATCTATAAAAATAAATATAAATTAACTAGTTAAAATTGTTAATTGTCTTACTTACTAGTCGTGAGATTACAGTTGTTAATACTATTGTACTACAAACTGCTGACTGGATTAATTTATATTTTTTATAGACAATTAAATAAATTATAATAAAAACTATTGTTACTGGTTTTGCTTTCCACATAAAGTAACTGTATTTTCATTCATATATGTCCATTAATCAAACCATGACAATGACATATATAGTGACAATATAGTTATTTTTAATACAAAATTTTTAATATATTCATAATGGTTTGTTTTGTGGAGTACAATAGTATGAACAACTGTAATCTCACGACTAGTAAGTAAGACAATTTACAATTTTAACTAGTTAATTTATATTTCTTTTTATAGATGTCTTGAAAAAGAATTAAATAAAATTCGAAAGCTTGACAGTAAGTCAAAGAGTTTTCTTTGTCTTGTGGGCCAAATAAACTGACTGCATCCTCAAAAATCATAATATATATATATATATATATATATATATATATATATATATATATATATATATATATATATTTACATTTCTGCAACGTAACTGCATAAATATCATGCGAAGATCTGTACAACGGGCGGGAACTTTCATTACTCTTGTGTTAGTCTATTATCTATTAGATTCTTAAGGTAAATATATAGGTAAATGCCTGATCTGTTCCTGGTCCTGATCGAAATCCTTGTTATCTTTCATTATCCGTCGTTTCTCTTTCTAGTCGCACTTGTAGCCTTATTTCGTGTTCCAATAGACGCGCTAATATCGCTCAATAGTTACTACAGTCGATCTTGTTTTCTTTTTATAAATGAGTTTTTTTTTTAATATTTTCATTTCGGTAACACTTTCCATTTTGGTACTTGATAAAAAATCGGTTTTCTGTGAAATTTTCAGGCCGCAGTGATGCATACTTTTTATACAGTTTAATGTAGTTTTGACCAATTATCGTAAAATATTTAATTTGTCGTATTTTACTGTCTGGGATTTTAATAATTATTACATTTTCTTTGTCCTCAATATCCACCGTCTTCATTTTTACCATTTCGTTGCATCGGCAGGCGCCGGTAACCCCAATTAACACAACAATCTGAAATATTTTTATAATTTAGTAGAGTATACTATATGCTTTGCAATATAATTTTTTTTTACCTTTAATCCTAAATACAACTTATCTAGCGCTTCAAACAAAAAATTATCAAACTCGTCTTTAGTGAAAACTTTAGACTTCTTTGCAGTATATTCTTCGCTTGGTTTTTTTTTTTCAGAAAGGCGCGTAACTTTAAAAATTTGCTTATATCCATATGTTTTCTAATAACTAACTCGGATTTTATCATAGAGTATCGTGACCACATTGTTGAAGATTTCTATTTATTTTCATTTTCCATTATATTAAAATATGCCAGTAAAACGTCTTCGGTAACTTGCCTTACTCCTCTTGTATCGCACCACTCTTGGAAGTGCTTGTACGCTAACCGATACTTTATTCCGGACTTGGAGGGCCCCAAACGTGCTACTGCATCATTAGCCGCGGACTCAATTTCGTTTAGGTTTTCCATTTTCACACTAAATTTGCGCTTGCGGTTGCAACAACAATAAGCTGTCTTTAATAATTGCAAACAACTGTCAACAACTGTAACCAGGGAGACGCAAATCCCACCGACGACTTAATTATTTTAATTTCTAATATTTAGACGACTTTGATAGTTGTCACAGTAAAAATAGCGTATGAATTGTACTATTTATGGTTGAAAATTGCTACGTTTGAAGAAAAAATAGTATACTTTATTCGGCAAAGAAGCGACTTTTCTTGACTTCTCCGCCTCATAAAGTAATATACTATTAATTGATGGTTTGGACTTTATTATTCACTGTATATTTTTACCCGTTGTAGTTATTTCGGTCTTTATCTTTTGTAGAAATGTCCTTAAGATATAGCTTTTTCTTTAAAATTTATATAAAGTTATTAACCTTATGTTTTATCTATTTAGCCAGATCAATATAAAAATGTTGGAAATCAAATTGTATCTCGATTTGGCGAAGAAGCTGAGGGGGGTAAAATTCCTGTCAATACTATTTCTATACCCCCCTTAGGTGAGATTTTGGAATTAAGAAGAGACGAGAATTTCTCGCTTTTTTTGCCAAAACACAGAAAAATTGCTGGACAACTTATTAACATTTATATAGGTAAGTTATTGTGATTCTAAATGCTTTAATTATTTTTTTGATTTTTTTTTGTCTGCCTTTTAGGGGAGCGCCTATATGTTTAAATTTTTATGTAGTTATAAGTAAAAACTATATATTTTCTTTATTTTTCTCTTCTTCTTCTCCTATGATTAATACAGTGAAGCATTTTTGGAATGTGAACAAAAAAGAGTTTGAAATTATAACTTACGACGTCATATTTTTATTTTTTGTTTAATAGAAAAATAAAATTCTTCTTCTTGATTCTCTTTATAAGTAATTCTGCTTATTCATTGGCGGATTAATACCGAAGGTTGTTACCCCACGTTTTGCACGGTCGTCCGATACTTCTACCGATTGGTGATTTATCTGCTACTTTGACGACACAGATCTTCCCCATTCTGCGTAGGTGGGTATTCTATTTCCTTCTCTATTTAGTGTACATTTGTTTATACACTGTGCGTTACATTTTTTTCCGTCTTTACTTCTCTTTCGATCTTAAAGTGTATTTCCGGTAATTCTTTTCAGTAGTCTCATCTCTGGCGTTTTAAACTGGCTTTAAAAATTCTTGACTTCACTTCAGTGTTCATATGTATGTTTCGCCATATAGTGTTATTCAGACATCCTGCCAGTCTATTTGCTTTTTGTATTTGATCTCTTACTTCTTTGTCTACGTCTCCATAGCTGGACAGTGTAATTCTCAGCTATTTTATTTTCAATTAAACTAATAGACAGGATTTCGTCCTCGAACGCTAAATACTTCTTGTAACTGTCGTGGAATGATCTGAATTAAATCTTGAATATATGTTTAAAAAATTGCCATTCTTCTTGTGCTGCAATCCTTGGTTCTTTTATTGTCGTATAAACAGGATTTTTTACCAAATGTCATGTTTTAATGTGTTTCACAAATGCTCTTTCGGATTTAAATATGGAGTGTATGGTGGCCCAATAAAACCTTTCAAACTGAACCCTTCACTATTCTAGAAACATGGGGACGTACATTATCGTTTATTGGGACAGATATGTTATATCAAATACAGCCGGCCAATAGCAAAACAGGATCTTCCAAGATGTTTTTAACGTATAACTCAGCTATCATTCGCCCAATCACCCACACAAGTTTGGTATGTTCTTCCCAAGCAATACCCATAGCGCTAGGACGAAATCTCCAAAAATAATGCTCTTTATGAGGTTACAACTAGAACACCATTCGCCAACTCTTCTGTACACGAAGTTTCGTGCATGTGACTTCCACAACTGAATTCTTGTCTGATCTGTGAAAAAAACATTGTTTACAGCACTGTTCACTGTTCGATAGTCCAATACACATACCCAAATCAAATATTTCATATTTAATCTATATATATATATATATATATATATATATATATATATATATATATATATCGTTCAAATTCCAATATATCTTCTATTAACTTCACATATTGCTTTAACATATTTACTTCTTAACTTGTGGTATTATCTGTGATGCTTGTATCTTTATGGAACTTATGGTCCCAATAAATAGCTTGTTTAATTATTATTCAGGCTTGTCTTGTTTTCGTTGTTTTGTAATGCTCTGAATATTAAGAGAATGTATCTATAAATGCACTGAATATTTAAAGAAAACACATTGTCCATAATATTTCCGAACCTAACCTAACATTTCGTCGTTTTGTTTTAGGAATGCGCAACGTTGATGATCTTCTCTCAGTAGCTGTATATACCAGGGATCGTGTTAATCCATACCTATTTAACTATGCTCTTTCGGTTGCATTGTTGCATAGATCTGACACACATGACGTAGATTTGCCGTCCTTTATTAGATCGTTTCCCGACAAATACGTAGATAGTAAAGTATTCGCCAAGGCTAGGGAAGAAGCTAACATTGTGCCTACAAATTCAAGGGTAAAAAATATTTTATCATAAATACCTATTAAAAATTTAATATATTTAATAATTTTAGACACCAATTGAAATACCTAGAGATTTTACTGCTTCTAACCTGGAACCAGAACACCGTTTAGCTTACTTCAGAGAAGATTTGGGAATTAACCTTCACCATTGGCATTGGCATTTGGTTTATCCATTCGAAGCTGCTTTCGATGTTGTCAATAAGAATCGCCGTGGAGAACTTTTCTATTACATGCATCAACAAATTGTTGCTAGGTGAGTATAAGAATTTCTTTATCTTAAAAATATTCTAGTCACAAAATTTATGTAATTAAATAGCAAAGATAACATAAAGTTGCCAAACTAGTCGATTAATTTCAGAAGCTCCGAATCTAAGGCTAAAATTTGTAGTAAACATGCATAAATTTAAAAAAAAAATACAAAAATTAAATAGTTTTATTATATCTACCATCGAGAATGTGAAAAAAAAATTCCAAGAATTAATAAAACATTTTATATAAATAACATTATTATTTCAGATATAACTATGAACGTCTCTGCCATGGGTTAAAACGTGTGGAAAGATTTATTGACTGGAGAAATGCAATCCCTGAAGCCTATTTCCCAAAACTAGACAGTTTAGTGTCAAGCAGATCTTGGCCCTCTCGTGTAGCTAACCAGAAACTCTCCAACCTTAGAAGAGAAAATGATCAGATAACTCAAGATATTGATGATCTTGAAAGGTGGAGGGACAGAATCTTTGATGCTATACACTCAGGAAATGCTAGGAGAGTACGTATATGCTCATTAACGTTTAATTTGTTTGTTTAACTGTTTTGTTTTAGCCTGACGGAACTACTGTTGAGCTTACTGAAAACGAAGGTATTGATATTTTGGGAAATATGATTGAATCCAGTATTCTTTCTCCCAACAGAGAATTCTACGGTGACATGCACAATATGGGACACGTTTTTATTTCTTATATTCATGATCCAGATCACAGACATCTTGTAAGTTTTAATAGATATAATTATGAATTTTGGAAATCTTTTATTATAGCTCGTTATAATTTCTTTATATAGTTTTATAAAGTTTGACCATTTTCGTAATTTTGTTATTAATTTAACTATAACTTATAATATAATTAATTAAGTAATAAATATTTTATAACCTTTCTTAAAATATATAGATTTTATGCTCTATTATACATTAATTCTAATCTGTTATATAAAGGAATCATTTGGTGTCATGGGTGACTCAGCTACGGCTATGCGTGATCCTGTATTCTATAGATGGCATGCTTACGTCGATGATATCTTCCAGCAATTTAAGTCTACATTACCAAGATATACTGAAAACCAGGTAATACAAACATCTTATTATTAACACATTGAACATATTAATATAACTAATTTATTATTTACCCTTTAAATAATGTCGTAATATTTTTAACTTTTAGCTAAATAATCCTGGAGTCACTGTTGAAAGTATTAGTATAGAATCAGGGGGTGCAACTAACGTCTTAAATACATTCTGGCAACAATCTGATGTAGATCTCTCCCGAGGTATGGATTTCCAACCACGTGGTAGTGTCTTCATCAGATTTACTCACCTTAACCATCAGGAATATAATTACCGTATTGTTGTAAATAACTCCGGAGCTGCCAAGCAAGGAACTTGCAGAATATTTATGGCTCCCAAATTCGATGAAAGGGGAAATCCATGGTTGTTTAGGGATCAAAAGAATATGTTTATTGAACTGGACAGATTCAAAGTTAATTGTAAGTTTATATTCCCAACTTTTTTAGCTATTTTAACTGTTTTTAACTTTATTTCTGGTATTGGGGTAATTCTCTACAGTTTGATTAACGTTTAATTGGTTAATATTTTTATTTTAGTAAAGCAAGGTCAGAACACAATTACTCGCTCTTCAACCCAATCATCTGTTACTATTCCGTTTAACAGAACCTTTAGAGACTTGGATACAAGCAGACCTGATGGCGGCAACAACTTGGCTCAATTCAACTTCTGCGGTTGCGGATGGCCACAACACATGTTAATTCCAATGGGTAATACCGACAATCCAGGATTTAGATCTGAGCTCTTTGTAATGATTTCAAATATCGATGATGACAGGGTATGTAAAGTATTAAATCTGAAATGAATTTATGCTATTTTATACATTTCGTTTATTTACAGATTGACCAAGACACTACTGGAATTTGCAACCAGGCCGACTCATTCTGTGGTGTGAAGGATCGTTTGTACCCCGACCGTCGTTCCATGGGTTATCCATTTGACAGACAACCTAGACAAGGAATTGACACTTTGCAGCAGTTCCTTACGCCGAATATGAGAGTTCAAGATGTCGTCATTAAATTTTCAAACAGGACATTCAGACCACGACAGAATAATTAATTATTTACTTCTTTCAAATGTTATTTACTATACTGACACTGCTAAGTTACCAAATAAACGAATTAAAACTAAAACTTTATATTTCTGTTTTATTTAAACAAAAGTCCAAAACTAATGCCATAGTACTGAAGTCAATATTGAACAATACTGGCATGCCGCATGGGCAAACATCAAAATGTGTTTACATTGAATTAATGAGTATTGATGTATTTGTCCAATACATATAGAAGGGTAATTACACACAAACATATTGTATACACTAAAAATATTATAGCTTTAGATAAACATTTTCTGGAAAATAGCCATTCTTATGATTTTGAAACTACAGATTAAGAAAAAACGAAAAAACCAAACAAAAGATGTATATTGGTGATGATTTACATAAAAAGATCAAAATTGTATTAATAATAATACCGATCTAAAAGATCTCTCTAATATATTACAACTTAATAAATTGAGTTGTTCGTAGATGCACCATTTGCAGATATCTTAAATCTGACCCTGAGCCAGTCGTATTTTCAAGTTTTAAATTTTTCGGATTACAATTTTGTTAGATCTCTTTGGGTCTTATCAGATCATGATCAGTGAAAACAGTTAGCAATTTAACCTAGCCACTCAAAAAGGTACAATAACCTTTACATTACATTTTAAATGTGCTAAAATTTAAAATGAAGTCAATGTAATAGATTTAAATTAAAGGCAACATACCGAGTCCTACTTGATTCGAAAAAGTGTACGTTCGTTTTTTTTTGGTAAGACTTAAACCTTTTTTTTTTTTGTTAATATGTGTCTATAGAAGTTTAAAGCCTTAGGCCAAAATTGACCCATTTTGCTTTCTCCTAGGGAGCTGTCGTCTTTAGTTCATTGTCCTTCCTGCCATTTCTAGAAAGGTGAACAAGTCACCAGACAAAATCTCCCTTATGTGGGCAGATGTGTCGGTAATGGACACTTTTTTACTTGTCCTAAAAGGGCATCTCGTTTTTTGCTTAATTTTTGATATTTTTGTTGTTCTTTCATTTGCGATATAAAGCTAACGTATCGACAAATTAAAGTAAATAATTAATTTTGGAACTATAAAGGGTTCTCCGGAAATTGAATTTTTCTAAAACTCTTTAAAAATGTTTACTCCGCACCGTTACTTACTGCATTTCTTCGTCTTATTTCGCTTAAAAAACTCTACACGATTAAGCCAATTTGACAGAATCACGCTTGGCGTAATTTTCTCTCATCTACTCACTCTCTGCATTCATTTAGCTTTTAAAGCTCGATGGTTTTTCGCTAAGTCAATGTACTAGCAACCATCCAGACGCCTTTTGGTCAGAATTACGCTTTCCTACGGTCTCACAACCTGTAACATTGTTAGGAATAGTTTGTTAGGAAGTGATTCTCTCTTATCTACTGACACTCTACTGTGAGCACTCTTTAAGCTTTTAGAGGTAATGGATTATGACAACAGCTATAAGTCATGTCGATGCAGTACACAAGTTTACCTGTTGTTTACAAGATCATAGCTCTTGTCAACATCCATTACCTATAAAGCTCGATGCCATATATGGTATATTTTCCAAGACCCATATCATCTGAGAGCTCACCTTAAGGGAATATTTGCCCCAAATACTTAGTCAGAAGTATTAAAAAACACATCTAGATTTAACAAAGGTGAATAAAAGAGGCAAAATAACTACTGGAACATGGTGCACTGCATACGACTAATGAGGGAGTACCGGCAAAATCGGAGAGTAAAAAAAGCACCTCGGATCCTTGTGTTAAACATTATTTTATGTAAGTGCATAAGTTGATTCATTCTGACTGTCACATGAGCCTCATTCAATGCCTGTTCTATGACCAGATCTACTTAAGCCTGATCTAGTTAAGTATTCAAATGGCGTCTGTGTATTACCGACATTCTGAATAGTTTTGTGACATTTCTATATGAGCTAGTCTGCTCTTTGGAGTTCCCAGGTTTTTTAGCGACACTTTGTTGCGAAGGGGTTACGATATTGTTTCGGGTTTTTTTAGCCTCGGGCTTTGAAAGTTTGCTTCTTTTTAAGTTTTTTCTAAATTGTCCCAACGTCTATTTTTGCCCCTTTCTGATCATTTAATGAGTTTCAGAGATAATTTTTTCATAAGTGACTCAAAGTATGTTCCTATCTGAACACTTTTTGATCGTTTCCCTTGTTTTTTTATTTATAAGCTCAGATATTTAGCTTTCTTGGACATTACTTCAAACAACACTTTTTTCCCTGTTATATCGTATATTTTGTGTGATTTTTAAAGTCATTTGCCATTAACGAAACAAAAACTAACTTTTGAATGTCGAAATAAAACAAATCAAAATTGCATTGATAATTTAATATAATTAATATTCACATTTATCTCAGTTCAGGATATAATTTCTCATTTTCTTTTATAGGTAAGCTATCCCAAAATTCCATAGATCCAATATGCTTCATTTTTGTCATGAATACTTTATCTGGAGATTCAATTTCCAAAGCATTTATTTCTCTACTATTGGGATCCACCGGCAACCATTCAACGTTATTAATAGAAGGTTTGCTAAAATCAGAATGTTTATTGCAATTGCATACTAAACTTCAGGAAAAACTAATATTATATCATGGCCTATAAATTCCTAAGCCCATGTACTATTTTCGTTCTAATTTAGTAATTGAATATGCGATGTAAAATAAGAGTATTCCTGAAATATTTTCCACCCAAGAGAGCGGCGCCAACACAAAGAAAAATCAAAGTCGAAGGACTAAATACGGAATCGACGGTATACTTATACAGGAAAGAAATATCAGAGAAGATCGCTGGAAATGAAATATTATAAAACAATAACATCGAGAAAAGCTGGGAAAAACTCAAAAATATTATAATTCACGCAGCAACAGAGTCACTTGGAGAAAGAAAAGTAACGAACACTAACAAATCGCACCCTCAGTGCAAGACTGCAGTAACTAAAAATTTTATGAAAATGAAGTAATCATAGAATTCGATGGTAAACATGCATATCTATCCCCTGTAAAACTTTGATAACTTTCAAATGCTTAAACGGCTAAATATTACAAAAACAACAGTTTAACTATTATTCGTTTTTGTATATAAGTTCCGTGCAAAACTGTTGTAACTCTAATGTAACAGAGTTACAACAGTTTTGCACGGAACATTGCAATGGTTTCGATAACAAACAATGAAAGGCGCGAAAGAAGTAAGATATTTATTATTTTAATATCTATATCTGTGGTGTTTAATCTTAATATACAGTCTCTACGTAATCCAATAACGGCCGAGACAATACACAAATTTTTACGATTTACCAATTTATTCACGTAAGTTTTATGTCCTTTGTGTAACATTATATTTTCCATTAAATTTGTGCGATGTCATTTGACCATTTATTTATTAGATTGGATTAAAAACACATGAATTAAGACTAATTATTTAGATCCAAAAAGTATTTTTTTATGAAAGGAAAAACAGTTATCTTAAAACTTGTGTATTAACAATACTGACAGGTTAAAAATATCTATTCTCAGAAAACTTGTTCTATAAAAACTAAACCCCAAATTGTATTAAATCTTCATGTAACCTTTCGCGTCACGTAGCGATTGTCTTATCATATTATCCCCCCAATAAACTTTTACTAAGGTAGTGAATTTCTAACCTTTTGTTAATCTCTGTTGGAATCTATTAAATGTAAAGTTTAATACTATACTAAACCCCTAATGCTGTTGGGGATTATTTTTTCTTTACTTACCCGATGATTTATTGCCATTCGGGTATGATAATACAAGAAGCCCGCCATAGTTTTTATAAAAATATTATGGTCTAAGATGATATACGAGAAGAGGACAACTAACAGAAAATGTGTCTACACTTTTTACAATTTTCTTTGTGTAAAAGTGTTGCAACTTAAAAATTCTAATACTAAATGTGTAGTGATTAACAATTTTCTCTGTGCAAAAGTGTTGTAACTTTGAAATTCCTAATTTTTTTAGCATTTATATTATTTTATTTAAATTTCTATTTTTGGTTAATGTAATCTAGGCTAAAAAGCATGCAAAATCATAAACAAATGATAATTTTTTTTAAACTTGTATCCTATTTGACCGATATTAGCACGAAAATAAACAAAATCGTCTTTATCTCGAAACTTACTTATTCTGACTTACTGCAGTCTTGCACTGAGGGTGCGAAATGAGGCGCATAGTACAAGAGTGGCCCAACTAAAAAAATTATATTTGAGTAAATAACACCAAGCGTTAGTATTTGTATTAATTTATCGTGTGCAATAGTGGCCCACGTCGATTTAATTAAAATGCCGGTAGAGGAATGAACAATGTCACTTTGGCATATTATGATTTGTTAACAAATGGTCGTGCAGTAATAGCCCAACGTTCATGCCTGTCGATTTGTTTCAGTTTCTCGTGTGCACTAGTGGCCTATCTCTTAATCTCTTATCCTTAAAATTATTATTTTAGTTTTATTTTAGTTTTAACAGCTTGTGTATGCTTCAATTGTTTGTGTTTAGTTATTTTAAGTTGTATTATGGATATTCCATCCACTTCAGGTAAATATATTATTCATATCATTTTGTTAAGGAATTGTTAAAAGTAGATATATTGGAATAAGGTGTTAAAAAGTGTATAATAATACACGACTGAATTATTGTAACTTATCTTTTTCAGGCAGAAGCAATAACACTTTTGATGACAGTGATGTCTCTAGTATTGATGAGACGTATGCAGATTCAGGTTCCAGTTACAATCCTTCTGATAGGGAAGATTTATCAAGTGAAAAAAGTAAAGGTATTTTATTATTATGATAATCGTTTGGAAGAAACTAATATATTTTGTTTTAGGTGAAAATGAAAATGTATTGGTGACTGGTTTTACAAAGCAGTCTTTCGAATCCCGGAGAAATTCTAGGAAGTATGAAACGTGGTGCTCGCCAAAAATTTGCAGATAAAAGTCAATGGCAAGGTAATATAAGAAAAA